GATGGGGCCCAGAGTCTGAACTAAACCAGGTTCTGGTCTCCTGATGGTTCCCAGAGTCAGAACTAAACAAGGGGAAGCTTGATTTTTAGTTCCATGCTCTTAAAATCTGGATCAGTCTTCCTGAAGACGTGAGACAGGCTTCAACTCTGACAGTGTTTAAATCCAGGTTGAAAACGCTTCTGTTTAACTGTGCGTATGGAAATTGAACGTATTTTATCTGCACCCTTCACTTTTCATCTGTCTAATTTTGATTATTTTTCTTTTCTTTTTTTTCTGCTTTTAACTCATTGACTGCCAGCCATTTTCAGAACAGAGTCCCATACTGCCAGAGTTTTTGAGCATTTTGACTGATTTTTCAGGAGCCCCAGAATAGTTTGTGCTATGACTATGTAAACACCGAACACACCAAAAGAAAGAGTAGACTCTCTTCTTTCATCAGGAAATTTTTTTTTGTTTCTACCATATTCCGTTCTTCCTGGACTTGCGTCTCACCGGCGACATGTTCTCGCATAGCGATCCATTACGTTTTTCTTATTTGCCTACAGTCTATGCTCATCTCCCATCAAAAGTGGCACTGCCCCCTAGAGGGTCAATTTGTTACTACATACTCTGTCTAGAAGCCTGATATTTACGGACAAGCTTTAGCAGATCGTCCCCCAGCCACTCTCGTTGAAAAACATAAAAGACGTCTATAGACGTCTTTGATAGCCAATGAGTTCAATTCTCTGTGAAGCACTTTGAATTGTCTTGTACACGAAATGTTGCTATCCAAATAAACTTGCCTTTCCTTGTCTTCCCATTCGTCCAAACTCCAGGACAGCGAGGCAGCCAGCTGTAAGATGAACAGCCTGGGCAGCAACCACTCCATCCCCAGCACGTCGGTGAGCACGGGCAGCCAGAGCAGCAGCGTGAACAGCATGCAGGAGGTGCTGGACGACAGCTGCTCCGACATGACCCTCATGCACCCCCAGGACTACGGCAGCACCCTGGACTCCTCTGCACACACCAAGAAGGTACCAGGTTACCTCCACCGGAGCTCAATCTGATAAGATGGTCTTTTTACCTTGTCCTGTTCAGCATTATGGCAACAGAACTGAAATCTGAGCACCGTGCCATGCTGAACAAAATTGCTTTGCCAAGGGAGGCAAAGGGAGAAGCCCCCCTTGATTACCCAAAACTTCTTTATTTATTTATTCATTTTTGTTACCAAACTTCCAATAATGCCGAACCTGACAGAGGGACAGGGGGGGGAGGTGAAGAGTAGTGGAAAGGAGAGAGATCCTTTAGAAAGTGGTCTGAAAATCTGCAGGGATTTAGCACTTACAGTTCAACTTGACATATTTACACCCCGAGAAAAAAATCTCACATGCCCCAGAAGTACTTGTTGAGGCCAAATAAAGAATAAAAGATGTTGACCTCCTTTTTACCTGTCTGCAGGTGCAAAGATTTCCCATAGTTCCATATTATATGAGCCCATAGTAATAAACACGTTTAGTCAAATTCTACATTAACAGAAGCATTACCTCATCTCTGACGTCTTTTGTTTTCGAGAGCATGCCTCATCCCCTCCCCGTGAAACCATGGAAACCAGCGACACAGTCCCAACTCCGTGCAGATTACTTCAAGTTCATCACTGATAGCGTTCGCACTTTGAGAACAAAGACAACTCACACACATGTCAACAGGCTACACACATGCCCCACCTATTTGCACACGCGTGTGCTCTCACACATACGCAGCTCTGCGTGTTCTAGTTCTTGAAACTCGGTGAGCTGTCACTCCTGTCGTTCTCCCCCTTTAGTGTCGCTTAGTGTTTTGACGTCGGATGAATAGGGTTGTCACTTTAGGACTGACAGCCAGCGTGTTGTTCTGAGTTCAGCGTCTGATCCGTGAACTGTTGAAAAAGTGGCACGTATTGTTTTCAGAGGCTTTCGGGGGGTTCCTCCTCACGTGAATCAACTCTTCATCTCCCCGGCTTTTAACCCTTTAAAAACCCGATCCAAGAATAAAACAAAACAGAAAATTACTTTTTTTTTGTTTGAAGTCTTTATTTGGCCTTTTCACAAAATATGTAAAAAGAAAAAACAGAAATACATTTTTGATATTAATAATTTATTACTATGCTATAAGTCAAGATTATTTTTTGTGTAGTCTTCTGCCCCCTGTTATCAGGTGTATCTGATTGTGTACAATTGGATTTTGAACAAAGTTTTTACCATTAAATTATGCAAAAGGTGTCAGACTCAAAACATTTCAGAAACCATATGTATCAAATATATAACATTTGGCATTACGGGGTTAAAAACAAATTCAAATCTCTATTTTTCATCATCGTTAGTAGGGCCATAGTTGAGGAATTTGTCACTTTTAGAAATAGTCACAGATAGTTTACAGGGAGTGAAAATCTGGGATGAATTTTCTCCTTAACTTTGGCTCATGTGGTGTTTTTATTATCATTTCAGTGGAAAGCTCTGTGCCTGAAATCATTTCTCTCATCTCCTTTTTTGTGATCAGGACCATCAATATAACTGGGATGACGGGATCCACAGAGACCATCGACCCGATCTGGGACCTGCCTCCTCGGACAAAAGCAGCCAGGCCCAAAACTACAAAAACCAGGGTCGCTTCGCCACCATAAAGTCAGCCTCCCTGGTAAGGTTTGATCAAGCTATTTCTTTATGAGTCTTCTATGTGCTGTTTTTATCACTTACACGTGGAGCTCTACATCTTGAATGTGGCATTAGATTAAAATGTGGCAGAGAGAATTAACATAGCACAACGGAGCTGTTTGCTGTCTGCCATGACCCGCCTGAGTTTGTGCGTGACGCCCAAGAACGTGCTTAACTCATTGACTGCCAGCCATTTTCAGAACAGAGAGTCCCATACTGCCAGAGCTTTTTGAGCATTTTGACTGATTTTTCAAGAGCCACAGAATAGTTTGTGCTATGACTATGTAAACACCGAACACACCAAAAGAAAGAATAGACTCTCTTCTTTCATCAGGAAAAATTTTTTGTTTCTACCTTATTCCGTTCTTCCTTGACTTGCGTCTCACCGCCGCCATGTTCTCTCAAAGCAAACCATTGCGTTTTTCTTATTTGCCTACAGTCTATGCTAATCTCCCATCAAAAGTGGCACTGCCACCTAGAGGGTCAATTTGTTACTACATACTCTGTCTAGAAGCCGATATTTACGGACAAGCTTTAGCAGATCGTCCCCCAGCCACTCTCGTTGAAAAACATAAAAGACGTCTATAGACGTCTTTGGCAGCCAATGAGTTAATGGAAAGTGATGAAAGCTGTGGGAAGCAAATCTCAACTCGAACGTCTTCTTTCGGTTATCGGCTTTCGTTAGTTCTTCTGTGGATCTTTGGCTTTGTCTGGATCCCTCTCTGTTTTTCAGCCCTCTCCTCCCTGCCACAGATTACTCTGCTGTTCTTACGTTCGTTTTCCGCTCTGCCTTTTGTTTTCGTCTCGTATACTACAACTCCCTTCAGCCCCCTCCCAGCCTTTATCTCCCCCCCACCCCTGCATTTCATAATACATCACTTTCAGATGTGAGTCAGTACTCTGACTTGAAGGGGGTGAAATGCTTCACCGCTTTGTTTTTATGTCTTTCTTCCCCTCGCCCCGTCTGTTGTCATGGAAACCAGCTCTAGTAGCTTGAAAATAGTTGTGCTGTGTGTGTAAACGTGCGTTTGTATATGTATGCATTTACCCATCCCTGACCCACTGGTTTTAATTGTGAGTCCTCTATGATGATAAGCCTTATGAAAGAAGCATATACGTGCTTTTCCATATTGTCCAAGATTCAGAAAAGAGTCTGGGGCTATTTGGGGATTTGCTGAGCACCTTCTCCCCTCAATTCCAGATTTTAAAAGCCTACACTTGCATGTTGTACCTCAATTTACAGTAACTTAATTACAAAATAATTTCTAAGAACGCAAATGATAGTCTTACATTAAAATGTGTGTTTGAAACAAAGAAATTCTAAGTTTTTGATACCATAGGATAAGAATAGACTCGTCAATCCAAAAGTAAAAATATGCTTTCTCTCAGGTGGACTTATTATTATTACAAAGATACACTGGAATGTCTTAATATAGAGAAACATGCTGAACTCCTACTTGTCAGGGGAGGACACACGTTTACACTCTCTCCTGTTGGTAGTGTGACATTAATTTCATTGTTCTCCATTCAGGTTAAAGAAATATGTCCAATATACAAATAAAGGTCTTAGTTCACTCTGTTAATTGCTTACAAAAGACTAAACATAGTTTTTATTTGAATTCTCTCATAAAAGAATGCCTACTTTCGCAGCATTTTCTGCCCATTGTTCTGGGCTGTGGATGAGAGTAAAAAAACGTGTGCAGCTTAGGTGGCAAACACTGTGTAATCGAGGCGGTCCGTCTTGAAACAAGGCAGCAAGGCGGCAAACCTGTGGTGAGAAAGCCTCCCGGCACTGAGAGAGAGATGACATCATCTTTTTCTGCCGTCCTCAGATTGGCCTCCGCTCACAGAGTCTGGAAGCAGGTACACAAAGAGAGAGAAAGAGCAGAAGAGGAAGAGGATCTGCAGGTGTAGATGGTGATGGGTTACAGGGGGTTACTAATGAAGAAGATTAAGAGCAGCAAAAGAGATAAAAATACATCCTGAAAAAAGGCAAAGATGCAAATTTGGAAGTGATAAGAATCCGCTAGAATCTAATTAAGCCAGTGTGGAAAAATAATGACGATACAGGGATATTAGAAGAGAGGGCACAGTCATATAGAAGCTAATAACCTGGAAAATAGCTGTTCTGGAGGTAAGAAAGGCAGAGAAAGAGCACAAACGGAGGTGAGAAAGAAGAGCAGCCGTGATTCAAATCTGTCCTGACACAGGACTGGGAGGGAGAGACTGGATGTGTCACACTCATCTCTGACATTAAGAACAGAGTCCGATCGGAAGAATACGAACAGTTCAAGAAAAAAATAAAGGGTTACAGCTAAAGAGCCGTGTAAAATGTCCGATTATCCAGGGCCAGGAGTGGAAAAAGGAACCAGATGCAAATTGAGGATTTGAGGCATGAGCGAGGAGAAGGAGAAGTTGTTATTAAAGGTTTGATGTCACTGGTGCATTAGATTGCACTGTCGTAAAATAGTTCACTGGAGCTTTTGCCTGCAGGTTACAACCTGACAGTCGGTGTAAGGAACATCAAAACATGCCGCACTCTTAAAATGCGAAGCTTAATGTGCGAGCCACATCGTGCAGAGGAATCAAAAGACCCATTTCACAGGTAGATATCTAAGCTCGAGAACCTTTAGTCCCTCTGGATTTCACAGGATGCAGGAAACTGAACAGTGGCCTACGGAGACTGTTTTTTTTTTTGCCCCCCCCCCCATACAGCCAGATGACTTCACCATATGCCACTATACATGTGAGGCAACATTCACTCTGGTTCTGCTGTTCGGTTGTCACATAATGACACGGTTACATAGAGAAACTGAGTATTATTAAGATAAAAACATTTTTAAAAACACCTAGCTGTGATAGAAGGTGAGACTTCCCGTGTGTCATCATACAGTGAGTGAACACAGTGCACAAAATTGCATTTTCTAGTCAACTGTTGCCCTTCAATCCTGGAAAAATTAATATGAAAGAGGACATCTTGTGAGTGCCGGCCCTATCGAAGATATTACAATTACCCTCAGCACCAAAATAAAGCAAAATCAATAAAAAAAGTTCAGCTGTTCCAGTTCCCACTGATCTCTTTCACCTTTCGCCTGCATGCCTCCCTCCTCTCCCTGAATATGATCTCCTTTCCAGTCCCAGAGCCGTGAGTGAAAGAGGCCGTCACATGATGTGACTTGGCCCTTTGTGGCCGTATGCAGAGTGGCGGAGAAGCAAGTGACTTGGATTGGGAGGCTCTATTACAGTAGGGGTATTGATTCAACACCGATTAAGGAGAAAGGGGAGCTCAAAGTCCACCTATTTCGACCCCCTCCGTCCCTGTTTTCCCCCACGGCTCCGTTAATGTCCTTTAAAGGATTTCTGTTTTTTCTTCTTTTCATATTCCATTTAACTCTCTCCCTGTCATTCCCAAATCCGCCGTTTTCTTCTTTCCAACCGCTCTCCCTCTCGTCTATCGGCCCGCTGCTCTCTGACCCCCCCCCCCTTCTCCAACTTCTCTCGCTCTTTCTCAATGAGGTATTCATGTGACCCACCTGCTGTCCGCCGCTTAGCGTTAGCCTTACTAAAGAGCAGCTCTGTGCTCTTGTTGGCCTGCCTCATTCACAGTTCACACGTCTGCGAGGAGAAGAGAGGGAGGGGGGGGGTCGCTATTCCCGTAAAGGGGGGTCTCGGGGTGGTGTTGGAGCTCAGGCAGGGGTCTGCCGGGCATAGGATGCTGCACAAGGTTCCTGGATGCTGGAGCACTTGGCTAAACTCGCCATCATGTTTGGCCTGAGGAGTTCAGGTGGAAGTTATGAGAAGATGCGGAGTGAATACTACCTAGATGTGGAGAACCCGTTCTGTCCTGAGGTTGGTGTGCCAGGTGGAGGTTTTGTTTCAAAAGAATCAATCAGTCCTGTTATATATAGCGTGGAAAAAAAATTACGATTTGCAAGTCAGATATTTTTCTATGATAGAATTTGGTTATGTTGCAGCTGTTTGTGTTACTTTGTCTTACTCAAATACGTTTTACGTCCTTTGTGGTTGCCTTTTCTGTGCAGTGACTGTGTGTAAGTGTGTGTGGACGACGGTGAAATGAAAGAGCTTTTGTTTGACTCTGCTGCTCATCTTCTCTGAATTTTGTTTATTTTTCTTTTACTTCTCCTCTTCTGTGCATTTGTAAATCAACATCGGTTCATTTGAATTGCTTACGTTTTCAGAATTTCTGGAGGAAAAACAGATAAAAATAATCAGTTCGAGAAAAATTAAGAACAGGTGACATGTAAAGTAGGCATTGCTTCTCATGGGAAAAGCTTCCGTGCTTTTAATTTGTCCCCTTGTGTCCACGCAAACTTCTTTTTCTGCCTTTCTTTTGTATTTATTGAGCTCAGTTGTCATGACTTCCCTTTCCTCCACAGGTGACCAAACAGATCCACGAACATGAGCAGGAAAGTGAGCTGCGGGAGCAGATGTCGGGCTACAAGCGCATGCGGCGGCAGCACCAGAAGCAGCTGATAGCGCTGGAGAACAAGCTGAAGGCCGAGATGGACGAGCATCGGCTGAAGCTGCAGAAGGAGGTGGAGACGCAGGCCAACAATGCCTACATCGAGCTGGAGAAGCTGGCCAAACGCCACGCCGTGCACACCGAGAAAGAGGTGGGATTTGTGAGGGCCGGTGGTGTCACGGGACATGGGTGGAAGCACATTTGCTGTGATTCAAAAATCATCATACACACACCTACAGATGCCGTGTAACGGGGGTCAAGCTTTGGAAAAACAGGCGGGCATGAAATTGACGTGATGACTCTTTTAACTCATTGACCGCCAGCCATTTTCAGAACAGAGTCCCATACTGCCTGAATTTTTTGAGCATTTTGACTGATTTTTCAAGAGCCACAGAATTATTTTTGCTATGACTATGTAAACACCGAACACACCAAAAGAAAGAGTAGACTCTCTTCTTTCATCAGGAAAAAAAATGTGTTTCTACTTTATTTCGTTCTTCCTCGACTTGCGTCTCACCGGCGCCATGTTCTCTCATAGCGAACCGTTACCTTTTTCTTATTTGCCTACAGTCTATGCTCATCTCCCATCAAAAGTGGCACTGCCACCTAGAGGGTCAATTTGTTACTACATACTCTGTCTAGAAGCCTGATATTTACGGACAAGCTTTAGCAGATCGTCCCCCAGCCACTCTCGTTGAAAAACATAAAAGACGTCTATAGACGTCTTTGGCGGTCAACGGTTGTATTTGAATTGACGTCTATAGACGTTTTTGGCAGCCAATGAGTTAAGATCCTCGAGGGAGAGTTTGTCAGGACGTTCGCACAGACACCGAGACCACTGGGGGAAATACAATTGTACTTTGCACACTGCTGCCACCCAATGATACATAGGATGAAACACAAGGGCAGAACTGGGTCACAGAATGTCACTCTTTGAAAAAAACAAGCGGCATATCTCTGTGATTAGCACACAGCGTGCCGCACCAGCCCAGGAGATAAAGGAATCTGTTCATATAGACAAGCATGTAGCCCTAAACGGTTACGTAAACATGAGTGGCTGTTTGAAATGAAACGGTTGAAGCACGATATGATAGTTTGAACTCATATTTATTTAGGTTCATATACATTGATCTAACGAAGCTGTGCAGCCCATGAATTTGAACAGGTTAAACCCTAAAAGTTGAAAATGATCTCAAAGGAAAAGAGTAGAATGTTCAAGTAAGAAATGAGTAATTTATTTTAAGGTGAACTGTACAACAAGTGAGTGTGTCTGTATTTCTTTATGTAACATGTTCTCAGTCAAAAAGCCTCCAAATTACTCAAGCAGCTCATTGTTTTCCCTTAATGTCGCACGTCCTCCAGATGAAAACGGCGCTCACAGATGAGAAGAAGTTCCAGCAGCAGATCGTGGCTCAGCAGAAGAAGGAGCTGACCACTTTTCTGGATAACCAGAAGAGGCAGTACAAACTCTGCAAGGAGAAGATTAAGGAGGTTTGTTGCCTTCCTCCCCGGCCGATCTCTTTTTTTTAACGCCTCTTAAGCGTGACACATGGTTGAGTCAGCCCTCCTACAGACAAACATCCACATCCAATACCTCCGAAGAGGAAGTTTTGATGAGTCACAAGGCCTGCTTACTATCTATGCACACACACAAAATGTTGGAGAATCGTAATCCATACGCACGCTGGAGAATATTGAGGTTCTCCACAACCCTGAAACAGACCCATGAATGCCACTGTTGGCTGGGAATGTGACACATTGTTAAGTTACCAAAACTGGGTCAGCACAGTTAAAAGAAAGCATCGCTGGCAGGGGGAGATATTTACCCCCGACTG